TACGGGACATGGAAAATTGGTATCATATACCACAGATAGAAAAAATAATCATATAAATAAATCAAGTACAATTTAAAGAAGGCCAACTATCAAATTCCCAGCAGACACTACTGCCTGCTGAAGGCTCTGAGCCTGCAACCTGCTCGCTCTTTGACAAAATGGGTGATTAGCGAATGTTGGAAAAAAGCGTGAAAGTCACGCTTGCACCAAACAGATTTTTTTCCTCCTTGATTTAATCAATAAAGGTTGAAAAGAGTATTGTTTTCTTGCATCTGATTCGATGTTATTTAATCCTAGAATCATCGCTTTTGGAAATCTCCACCAGGCACTATTGACTCCCATATCAACAGTTAATATTGATTGACGTCATTAATCATTCATCTATGCAGGAAGCCTGGTGGAAGGGGGTGTTGCTATGGATATCTTCCTGGAGGAGGAAATATTCGAAGAGGGGCCTTGAAAGACGGAGCAGGAGCTTGCTTGATGGAGAATAGGAGAGATGATAATTCCAGGCAGAGCAAACAGCTAGGGCCCTGCTACCCCATATGGCACCTTTGTACAAATGATAACGAGATGCCTTTTCTTCAAGACATTTTACTGCCATCTGCCAGAATTATCGGTATAAATCTGTGATGTCTACGATGTGAACGTGGCACCCTTGTGCTGTGCCCAGCTTGTACAGCTGTACTTGGCGGCCTTGGAGCACCATGAACAAAGGCACAGAGGTTGAGTTTCTGGAGGGCCCAAGCAAAGCTTACAGAGCTGGGAGCAGTAGCTTGGTGGTTGTGTGGGCAAAAGTAGGGGGTGGGACAAGGACGCTGAGTGTGGCAAAGGAAGCTGGCAAGAAAGGCGGGGCCTCATGGCACCCCACTCTGTGGTTTTCCTGAGCTTCAAAGTTGAGGCACCACCTCACATAGCCTTCCATGGGTCTCACTCGCCTTCCCTCTTCTTCCCACCCTAGTTCTCTCCACCTCTTGGCCAGCATCTTGGACTAGAAGACAGGGTTGTCTGTGGGCAGAACTCAGGAGATAAGAGCATTAACCCTGCTCTACTGTTAGAAGCTGGAAAGAACTGGGCAAATCGTTTCCATTCCCTGAGACTCATTCTTCCCTTCTGTAAAATGACAGCTCAAATGTCCATCTAGCCCCAAGATTCTGTGGTTCCAAAGTTCTGTGAGTCTCTGGGATTCTATTATACAGTTTATCTCTAAGGCTCTGGGATTCCCTGATTCCAAAGTCAAGCTACACAGACTGCCATCCTAAGTTCCTAAGGACCGTGAGTGCAGCTCTAAGATTCTAACGTGATGGAGTTGAGCCTTATAATCACGTTGAGCCGCATGAAATTAACTTTCATATTTCCCCAACTCCAAGCTCCGAATGAGAGTAAGAGGCATCATGATTTTACGATTCAAGAAAGAAAAAGAGAAATGCTATCCCTTAAAATATAACACCATGGCTTTCTGATCACTCAGAATATTTATTTTGTCTTTATTTAAAGAATTAGTTGGGACTTACTTAGACATAGCAGGGTTTTTTTTTGTTTTTAGTATATCGATCTGGTGAGTTC